CTTCTCATCTCTGTATAGTCTGGATAATCTTTGATCATTAATATAACTCAAACCATAAAGTGCAACATGAGTATTATTTTTTTCAAAATTATTGGTGAGACAACAATGCGAGTAAGATCTGTCCATTTGCCAAAGTAATTCACAAATCCAGTAGCTGACAGTACATCCATTGATCCAACGGTACCAAAACCTAACGGATAACAAATAAAATATAATTTGATATAAGGTATAATTAGAAACTTAATAAGAAAAAAGTTTATACTTGGATCATCATGATTCCCATGGATGGTAAATACTGGCATTGAAACATTTAAATTAGGATCTTCATAATTCACATGCTTTTGTGCGCAGTGTCGGAATATCACATCTGAATCACTTAAGAATTGTAGCTTGCATTCTCTAAAAATATAAATTAAAAAATTATTTTGTATCCAAACACTATAAATGAAAATATATAAGAATATAAAAAGTTAAAAACAGAAAATTATCTTCAATCATTGAAAGAATATATTCCTTAATATTTCTTAATTATAAATTATAGATTCTTATGCATTAATTTGTTTTCTCTTGTTTATAATTTAACTTGTTATCTCTATTTTCTTGTTTCTTGTTCATTATGTCTGGAATCTTATATCCTTTTATCATATTACTTTTATATTAACTGTTACATTAGTTTAGTTTAATGTCAATTTAAATATAACTCACTTGGAACCTAGGCAATATTTTCGCAATAATTCAACACATCTGAGTAATGTGGCTTGCGTTGGTTTAGTATCATGAAACAAATCACCACCCAGCAAAATGAAGTCGACTTCATTATCCTGGCCATACTTCAGTATTTCTTCAAATGTAATAAAACTATCATCCGATTGTCCTCCTGTCAAGAAAAATTATCATGTTCATTGTGATATCGATTTTCAATCTAACATCTTTCTCTTACTTGTAACAGCATTGTTGAAAAATTTATAGAAAAACAAACCTCTCTTCTTATTGAGATTAAAACCAAGATGAATATCCGTAGCTACTAGAATTTTCATAGTATCTTCCGGATCAAACGAGG